GGGGGGGGGGGGGGGGAGGGGAGGGAACTAGACCCACGTGGATGGGAGATTTTACTGAGCGTGGAATGGTGGAGGTGAAGAATTGGCGGATTTTCCGAGAACTAGACAGTAACTCCCTCGGGAATTTGAGATGCCCAAGTAATCGTTTTCCCCGCGTGAAAGAGAAAGCCGACCCGCTATGAAGGAAAACAAGCAACTGCAAAGTAAAGTCGCAAGTAGAGTGCGTGAGTCTTGATATTTGAGGGTCCCTACCCCTTCAATCCTCAACACCTTGCAATGTTAACCAAACCATCCATTCGAGCTGGCGACATGAAGGACAGTCATCGAAACCCAATCTTCGAAGCCTACGGCATATCGGGAGACGCAGCTCTCGGTGGCAATTCCCAGGGAGCGCACCCTTCCTCCGTCGACAGACCGGTCCACTACCCGCAATGGGACCAACCCAGCAGCCGTGGTTATGTGGTCTCCAACCATATGATCAATGAGCCCCCGCAAGGGAAGTCCTTTCGGATTGTGGTCATTGGCGCCGGTGCGGCGGGCATCGACTTTCTTCACCATGCGCCATCCGCATTGGAAGGCCTGGGGGTGAGTATTGTGTGCTACGAGAAAAACCCGGACGTGGGCGGCACCTGGTATGAGAATCGCTACCCGGGCTGTGCTTGTGATGTTCCGAGTATCTCGTATAGCTTTCCCTGGAAACCCAACCCCCAGTGGAAAAAGTTCTATTCTTCTGCACAAGAGATATGGCAGTATATGCGAGACATCGTCGACGAGGAAGGCATGATGAAGTACATTCAGCTTCAAAGCCAGCTGGTGTCGGCGAGATGGGACGACGAACGTAGCAAATGGTGCATACGAGTCCGACGCGAGGTTCCGGGCGACAAGGAGATTTTCCAAGAGTGGAGCGAAGAGTGCGACCTTCTTCTTAACGGCGGAGGATTCCTCAAGTATGTCACGCTCTCTCTTCAAGTATGTATGGATTTGGTGAGCTAACTATGTGATAGCTCATGGAAATGGCCAGATATCCCGGGGATTAAAACCTTCAAAGGCGATATTTTCCATACGGCTAATTTCAAGGAAGACTATCCTGTCAAAGGGAAAACGGCCGCCGTCATTGGAGCTGGCAGTTCTGGGATTCAAACCGTATCCGCTATCTATCCTGAGGTTGAAAAGCTGTATACTTGGGTGCGAAGTCCAACCTGGATTACGGCGGCGATAGGGCAGAAGTTTGCGTCCAAAGAGGGCCATAATTTTGACTGTGCGTTGCCTCCCCCACAACCAAGAGATGCAGCGCTAATGAAATTCAGATACTGAGGAGCAAAAGGAGTTCTTTGCCAGAGACCGCATGGCATATCATCGATACCACAAGACTATTGAGTATGAACTCAACAACCGATTCAGAACGGTGTTGCGGGACACGGCAGAATCCGACGAATCCAATGCTGTATGGCTCCCAATCATTCTATACCGCCACAAAAGATTAACATGCCTTCCAGTATGCGTATCGGGTGATGACGAACAGGCTCAGATCGAAACCAGAAGTCCTGGAAGCCATGCTCCCTCGGGACTTCAGTGTTGGCTGTCGTCGCCCCACACCCGACAATGGCTATTTCAATGCCTTGACAGGAGGTAAGACAACCGTGCTGCCAGGAAGTATCAAAGCAATCACCGAGACTGGCATCGTCGATGCAGATGGTACCGCGCACTCGGTCGACGTGATTATCTGTGCCACCGGGTTTGACACTTCTTTCCGTCCTCGTTTCCCCATCCATGGTCTGGATAGCACGCAGACGTTGGCTGAAAAGTGGGCTGAGTGTCCTTCCAGCTATCTAGGAATCGCAGTTGATGGCTTCCCGAATTACTTCACATATGGTGGACCTTATACCCCCGTGGCGCAAGGGTCCGTCCTCCCGATTCTCTCTCTGTTGACCAACCACTTCCTAGAGATCATCAAGACCATGCGTACTCAGCATATTCGACGGCTCAGCCCGAAGGCATCTGCCGTGGAAGACTTCCTGGAGCACGCACGCACGTACCTCCCACGCACCGTGTGGGCGGATCCTTGTACCAGTTGGTTCAAACTGGGCACCAAGACGGGGAATCTTGTGATGTGGCCCGGCTCTCGTCTTGCCTTTTTCGAGGCCCTCCGCCACCCTGCCCTCCAAGACTACGATATTGAGTATTGGAGTCGCAACCGGTTCGGCTATCTGGGTAGCGGCTTCGTCGACTTTGAATTCAATAACCCCCCTGAGACCACCTGGTACTTGGATGCGTTTTCCAATAACGACAAATGGCAGCGGGGTAGTGTCGAGTTTTGGAAGTACGCCGACGATTTTCAAGGCCTGAGTGAAGGCACTTTGCCGCCGCCTTCATCTTCATCGGACTTTTGAGTCTAGCCTCGAGCTTTGGAAAGGAGTAGTCACTCGTGGTTGTAGGTTTCTTCAGAGTCTGGTTGATAATTTTTCCTTTTCCTCTTTTTAAATGAAAGTCTATAGATATATTGTTTCTTTTCCTTTCTTTTTCGGTTCGGTGCTGAGGTGTAATCTTAATAAGTATGGGCTGTAGTGTTACGATCAGGACATTCATTTGGCAAACAGTAGGATATCTTAGGCAACTAGAAGTGCTATCATCTTGACGGGATTAGATATAGACTTCTTAGATATGTATTCAAGCACTAGTTAGACAGGAGAATGCTGATTATCGCCTAGGCGAGGAGTTAACTAATGAGATCAACCAGCAAGCCAACGATATGTCAAATTCGCATGGCTCCAGGTTGTATTTTACAGGCGTGATCTCTTTGAGCATATGGGCTGACGTTTCCCTTCCATTCGGGACAAGAACTCCTGGCTCACCCGGTGACTGAAGTTGGGAGCTTGCACAGTCCTGTTTTCTTGCACGGTCCACTGTTCATGCTCGACTTTGAGCCAATCTATAACATTTTTGGCTAGCTGCCTAGGCTGTTCCACAGGAGCGACACCATTGAGGCTGACGACAAATATCCATTTCCATGCGTCCTAGTCTTCGACAATATTAGGTGCTTTTCTCATGCCGGTGCCTTGTGGCACACCTGCTACAATGATATATCCGACCCAGTTATTAACGCCAGTCACAGAGGATACGTCCACTTCGGTACAATGGACATGGGGTTCACCTTGGCGATCGACTCTGTCAAATTGGCAAAGTTCTGACTGGTGACATCCGCTATACAAACAGCCGCAGCACCTCTTTTTGCGAGGAGCCGAGAAGTGGCAGCACCTACACCAGAGGTGCCTCCTCTAATAGCGAATATCTTTGAAGAAAGGCTCATGGTGACAGCGAATTCCGTTTAGGCCCTACGCTACATAGATATATTTTAATAGAAGCGTCTTGATTATCATATTTAGCTTAGCCCTCTGGATTATATTATGAAGATTCGTTCTAACAGTCAGCTCAATTAAGTGGAACCGGCGTAAGCGACCTGTTTCTCGGGTAATATGAACGTAAGGTAATTCGTTCATTATTGATTCTTGTTTTTCTAAATAATAAGCCTTATATGCCTCTTTAAATGTCTTATTGGCCCTGGGCATATTAATACCGATGGTCCCACCTACTGTATTTGCCGAAACACGGCAAATACTTGGCAATACTACGAATCGAGGTTCCGGACAATGTAAAATATTACCAGCTTTACCAATATCAACACGCAACTCTATTGACCAATTAAATATATTATAGATTTCCACTGTACTTATTAACCAATTATATTTATTCTTTCTATAATAAACTTCTGGATTACTAACTAGTCCAATTCCGAGCTATTTACCGCTTTTTTTACTGTTCAGAAAAGTCTTTTTCAAATTTTCCAGAACTAGCAGTATCCTGTTCTTAGGAACTACCAGTACCCTATTCTTAGGGACATCAGTATCCCGTTCTTAGGGATTACCAGCATCCTGTTTTTAGGGACTATTAATATTCTGTTTTTAGGGACTACCAGTACTATATCTTTGGAAAAGCTCAATATGAGATCTTTAGATTCTCTGAGATTCTACGGAGTAGTAATAATATTTGTAAGCCCTAGTAGAATTTTAGGGGCCGGTGGTATATAGATTTAGAAAGCGCGTGGCTTTACGTAAAACCAAAAGATTTCAGTGAGGAATCTTACATAGCCCATTTAGTCCGCCGTAAATACCACATGTAATAAACAAGATTCTCACTCCACTGCCAACAGTATATCCACCCCCTACATGGGTTAATATGCACCAGAAATCCGGATTATGCATGGTGCATTACCACCATGCAGTATGGTTATTCTAGCATCGGCACTGCCGACTAGCCGATCAAATGCTTTTTAGAAATGCTCGTGGCTTGCACAAGCTTTCCCAAGAATAACATCCTTCCCGTCCTGGCCTGCATATGACAAGACGATCTTGAATAGTGAACGACGGTTGACCACGATGCACAGTGGGCTCTCAAACGGCGTGCCTGGGGCTTCCCAGCGTACTTACCCTCGGAAGATATCATTCTGGCGCCTCATGACTGATCACCAAGTCCTCACGAAGGAGATTGTGGAATACGACTATCCTGGGTCTGGCACGAAAGACGACCCCTTTGTTGTATCGTGGCTAAACGAGGATCCCCGCAACCCATTGCAATTCAGCATGGCTAAAAAGGTGGCCATCACACTGGTGACGGCCTTTGCGACCCTGATCGTATCCTTGACTTCGTCTGCCTACTCTGGCAGTATCTCAGACATCGTTCGTCGGTTTGAAGTAAGCACCGAAGTGGCCACTTTGGGCCTCTCGCTGTTTATCTTCGGGTTCTCAGTAGGACCACTGGTATGGGCTCCCTTGAGTGAAAGCATCGGCAGGCAAATCCCCTTTTTTATTTCATTTTTGTCTATGGCTGCCTTTTTGGCAGGGTGTGCAGGGGCGCGCAATATCCAGACCCTGTTGATTCTTCGGTTTTTCGCCGGAACATTTGGCTCTTCACCCTTAACCAATGCGGGTGGAGTCGTGTCTGATATGTTTCCTGCGCGGCAACGCGGATTGGCACTTTGCTTGTTTGCATCCACCCCCTACATGGGTATGTCTGCCTTTCCCTTCTCGGCGAACATGAGAACTTTGGAAATCTGATCAAAGAGAATTAATTATATAGGCCCTGCACTTGGTCCAATGATCGGCGGCTTTCTCTCGATGAATGCGGGTTGCGGTGGGTGGAAGGCCTCTTGGCTGCATGTGCTGGACTGGTATGGATAGTAGTCACTATCTCAGTGCCAGAGACCTATGCGCCGGTCCTCCTCCGCAAGCGTGCCGCCAAGTTATCGCGTGAAACAGGGAAATGTTATCTGAGCAAGCTGGACGTGGGCAAATCACCTGTGGCGTGGACAAGCCGTCTGAAGACGGTATTTTCCCGGCCGTGGGTGCTGTTGTGTCGAGAACCGATTGTTCTCCTTTTCACTTTCTACGCCTCGGTCATCTACGGTACCCTTTACATGCTCTTCGCGGCATTCCCCATCGTCTACGAGCAGGGACGAGGTTGGAATCCGGGTGTGGGGGGCTACCTTTCCTGGGTGTGATGGTGGGAATGTTTGCGGGCGTGGGCTATGCGATTTTGGACAATGGACGGTATGTTCGAACACAGGAGAAGTATAACGGCTTTGCGCCACCGGAGGCGCGCCTGGTGCCTTGTATGGTTTCTTCTGTCACCATTCCGATTGGCTTTTTCTGGTTTGCATGGACCAATTCGCCCTCCATTCACTGGATGGCCAGTGTGGCCGCCATGGTTCCATTCGGTTCTGGCCTGGTACTCATCTATTTGGGTATTGTCAACTACCTGATTGACTCCTATACCATCTACGCCGCATCGGTGATTGCCGCCATGTCAATCCTACGATATAGCTTCGGCGGCATATTCCCCTTGTTCACGACGTATATGTATGAGGGACTGGGGATTCACTGGGCATCGTCCATTCCTGCATTTGTTTCGGTGGCATGCATGCCACTGCCATTCATATTTTACAAATATGGTGCCGATATTCGGAAGCGCTGCAAGTATGCCGCTATTTCTGCGAAGCACTTGCAGACGATACAGGAGACGGCCGAGGAAGAGATACGACGGAATGCTGTCGCGACCCAACCCAATGCTGCGGTGTAGAGGCAATCTCTTTCACCAGCCCCTAGACCAGGATGAAAGCTGCGGACATAACCCGCTGGTAAAAGTAAGAGCGAAGCGGAGGCGTGTGGGTTTAATGTCCAGGAGTTGCGGGACCAGTAGCAGCACCAGGAGCCGGAGTAAACCACCCACTTTACTGACGCCTTTTGACATAGAAGGGATCAAGTCCCGGTAAATATATGTATGCCCTTATACATAGTTGTTCTTCTACAATATCGTAAATTTCTTCAAATACCAGGAGACGAATGAAAGCACACCTTGCATATTATTCATCAGAATAAGACTCTCTATAACTCACATCGTGGGCTCTCCCATATATCCCGCGGACAAAACAAGATATAGAATCTAAGAAAGCCGATCTACAGAATGGACGACCAGTCCTCCGTCTTGATGTACGCCTCCATCGGAGTAACAGCAATCTCAACACCAAGCTAATCAACGTCGGCATATTACAACAATATCCATAACGAAAACATTCAGCTTCCCTCACTAGCCGTCTGCACCTCCGGATCACCCCCTGTATATCCAAACTCATCCACAGACCTGAACGTCTCCGCCAACTCCACCGTCAACGGCTCAGGAACGCCGTGGAAGTACTCCTCCTCGGACACCAGTTGAAAAAAAACGCTGTAGCCCCATGGACCTGCCCCCAGAGCTCCGTCCACTGCGGCCAGGTCATCAACTCCGACACACCGAGTGAGTGTGTCCTAGCCGAAAGATCTACCACTAAGGCCTTAACAAATGCCCCCGTATCCTTCTGCGTCACGACAAACGGCATCACCGACCCAGGCAAAAACGTTCGTTTAATGAGAATCCCCCCCCCCCAATCAGGTTGCTTCTGCGGCGCCAACGGCGGCGACATCTTCCAGTTCGTCACGTAGTGGCCGATCTGCACAAGACTCATCTTCTCCGCGAGCTGCGGATACTGACTTTTGATGATGGAGATCTGCGCAGTCTTGGAGTTGTTGTGCAGCGCGTTGGGGTATTTTCCGCCGCTGGTTTTGGAGAGAGAGAGGGCTTGGGCGGCCGGGCTGGATAGATTGCGTGTGGATGTGTGTTAGTATGTTGTCGCATGTCGTGGGGAGGGATGTACCTGGATACCGGTGACGCCAACAATCACGATGAGTTTAGACATGTTGATGTTTGATTGAGTTCTGCTGATTCTGTATACAATGTCGGTCATCGCAGGACATGGTCGAGGTATATATATGATCATCGGCACTTACCGTAGATGGGCGTGTTACACCATCGCTACATGGTAAGAGGCGGATGAAAATCTATCCGATATGAAGAACACTCCTGCGATTGCGATGAATCTATCCGACTCTTCGTGAAAGGTTCTCTGTGAGTCGGGTTGATCCTGCAGATTAGTAGCCATGTCGTCCGTACGGAGTCCTGCGGGTGAGCCTTCCACTCAGTCGGAGTTGGATTGTTTCCGGTGAGAGATGAGACGGGGATCGGAGGGATAATCACTTTTCCTTACTGACAGTTGGGTTCCAATCGGACTGGGGAAATCTCGCATCCTCCGTTTTATTGGTGTCATCGGATTTTGCGATTTTGCGATTTTGAGACTTTGCGGCTGTCCGGCGTTTTCGGCTTTTGCGGTGTTTGAAAGTCTTACGCCCCGAACAGGATGACACCGTCGGAATCGGCCACGCAACTTCAGGTTACTAAGCTCCGGGGGGGATATATCATTGCGCAGAAAGAAACCGTCATGAAGATCCCACCAGTAGGGCTCGATATTATTAAGGCTAGCATACTCAGAGCACACTCACCTCCACAGCAATCGCCGGAGGCCGCTCAGGGCGAGCACCAAAATGGAAAGGGGAAGACCTTGAGCTGGCGAGAAATCCAAGCACGTTTGAGGGGGCCCTCGGGAAAGTAGCTACGCATTGATCTAGCGTGAGAGGCAGATATAATAAGACGAAGATGCATAGTCCTGCAGCGAGGATCCTTCTATCTCGTGCGTTCTCCATGGTTCAGAAATACTATATGATGACTAAGAGACGGCATCCAGAATGAATTTGCAGATAATCTCATCCATCTTGGCCTGAATTTCAAGACCGCAAATAGGCCACCCCATGGCAAATGTGTGCATCTCGCCCACCATCGCCACCTCTGTGACCTCGATACCGGCTTTCATACATTTTTGATACCACCTTTGGCTGTCACTCGCCAATATCTCCGTGCTGCCATAAATCAGCAGTTGTGGCGGTAACCCAGAAACGTCATGTGTGAGCAAGCTAGATATTTCTGGAGTATCGGGAGGAAGGTCAGAAGGCTTTAGCGCATCGAGCAAAATAGGAACGGCCGTATCATATTCCAACACAATATCGTGGCGAACATTGGGAGATCCGATGGTCCTCGCACCGGTCATATCAAGCCAAGGTGATATGAGGACTGCGCAATTCGGCAGAGAAAGCCCGCAGGTCTTTCCATGATCACGAATATAGAGCAGGGTGAGCATCGCGAGATTGCCTCCGGCGGAGTCACCTGCGAAAACTACTTGCTCGGGTAAGGCTCCACACTGGAGGACCCAGCGATAAGCTGCCAGCATTGATTCACGCTGTGCGGGCCATTTCTGAGAGACTGAAAGAGCTGTGCTCTCGTAGATTGAGTTAGCAGATGTCTAGAGCCCAGAGAGTACCGTTTCACTCACGATATTTTACCGCAACAAACACCAATTTCTTTCCACTACTCTGGCCTTTGGCCGCCCACCGTTGATAGGTCTTTAGATATTGCAATGGATGTCCCGATATCATTCCACCGCCATGTGCAAATATTATAACCGCATCACTAGTTCGTATGTCGGACGAATCTGTCGATGGCACAACATATCCGTCAAAGCCATTGTTCCGAATCAAAATCTCGCGGTGATTTCGAGGCTCGCTATACAAAATGCTTCCCAGTGTTGAGAGAGTAGTCCCAACCCAGGCTCTGGCAATCGAGTTCCGAATCGAGAGAGGCTTGAGGGACCCGGGAATAAAGATGGCACAAATCAAAACGCAAGTAGACCGCAGCACAGCAAGACACAAGATCTTCAGTGTGAGCAATGGATGGGCCCGTATCTCCCCCCAGTGAATGGATAACATTTCTTGTAGATTGATCGAGAAGAAACCAAGCAGCGACACTAGGGTTAGAGGAAAATGGTATTTCCCAAGCGATCAAATGTTGGAAGACAAAAGAAGGGAAGGGTTAAGTACCAGGAGCGACTACTGTGTGACTTTCTAGCTACCTCTCCACTTAACGATATACGGCGCCAGTGACTATTTATGACCCGATCTGGTACATTTGCGAGAAAGTATTATCGTCGCACACGAGCCTCTTTGAATGATCGGGAAATCAATGCTCGGCTTACGCAGATGCCTCGGTCTATGGGCATGCGCTTCGGAGAGGGTTGCCTAACCATTCTTCCTTCCAAACATTGTTTGCTCTATTTCAACTATAGACAGTCGTATCATATCTCTATTTATCTAGGTATGGCAGTGTAGGCATTTGTACAGAGAGTTAGTCTAATAATTAGGCTACGGAGAGAGAATGGGTTAAAAGAATACATCATCTCATCTCATTAGCACCATAGACATCTGCATCGAACACAGGCCATCCTTCAGCAATCAACGTTCCGGAGACAAGAACTAGTATTTGGACCTCTTCAAATTGCTGTTTGACTTTAATGACACATTGACACAGACTGCCTAGGAAAAGCTACTCCAATTCCTCCGACTTTGGTGAGATATCCATTGTTTCCTTTGCCGCCTCATGAAGAACCGACAGACTGAGCCTCGGCATCGTCCTGGACAGATGAACCGCTTCGAGAACCGTCTTGGATGATCTAAATATCTCTTCAATCTCCTCCAACGATCTTCCCGCTGTCTCAGGGAAGAAGAAGTAGACAATAGGAATGGCGGCTGCGTTTGTTGCACACCAGAGAATGAAGTACCGATAGCCAATACTTTCGATAGCGACAGGGGTGATTTCTGCAACCAGGAAGTTGAAAAACCAAGATACCGCCGTAGAAATCCCACACACCGGGGCTCGGAGGTGCACTGGGGCCAATTCACTGGCATAAAGAAACGGGAGCCCAAGATAGCCAAGAGAGGCCACGAAATAGAAAAGATACAAAAAGAATACCCCAGACCGAAGAGCAGCGTTGTTATTTGGATTCGAGACCACACCAGTGAGGCAGGCCATGCAAATCGTAAGCCCTATCGAGCTAGACAGCAGCAGCTTTCGGCGACCGAACCGGTCGACCGTATAAGCGCACACGAAAGATCCAATGATGAAGACTGCCTGAGAAGCAGCAGCCAATACAAATGCCTGACGGGGAGGAAATCCAAGCTGCTTCGAGTAGATCGTCGGTGCATAATAGGTGATTGCATTGATGCCAGTCAGTTGCAGCAGCATTTGGACAGTTCCAGCAAGGAGGAGCCTTTGGAGATTTCGTTGTGGCTTCATGTCGAGCAGCGACCGAAGGCTCTTGTTCTCGGACATCTGGAGGGAGAGTAGGATGTCTCGCATGATCTGATCAACTGACTCGGAGTGGGTATCTTCGTCGTAGAGAGCGGCCAGCACGCCCCTCGCTTCCTCAATCCGGTCCACCTTACAAAGCCAGCGAGGGCTTTCCGGGAGATGAAAAATGAACCCACAGACGACGACGGAGAGGAGCGTTGTGAATGCGAGTGGAAATCTCCATTTGACCGACGATTCCGGGGCAAAGGATATGCCAAAGCTAATCCATAGTGCAGCGGAGGTGCCCATGCCAGCGAATATACCAAATGCAGAAACGTGACGACCTCTGCTCTCTGCTTTGACCAGCTCCGATTGCCATAACGAAATCGTCGCGACTAAGCCTCCGGTGCCGAGCCCGAGAATGATACGAGCGACAATGAACTGAGCCAGCTGGAAGGAAGACGCCTGCAGGATAGCCCCGACGGCTTGGATAGCACTGGCGATGAAAATAGTTCGCTTTCGGCCCAGACGGTCTCCGAAGCTGATGCAAGCTAAAGCCCCAAAGGCCCCAAGAAGTGTGAACAATGCAACCACCGTGCCTGTCTCTCAGTGAATGGATGTCATTCCCGACTTCAAGTCACTGTGACATACCTTGTATTGTAGAGTTATGTTGCCTTCGGTCCTCCGGCACGTTGGTAGTGTCCATAGCAGGGAATTGCTCGTTGAAACCTGGCAACCCAAGCACACCACCAGCGCTTGCGGAATTATAGCCAAAAATCATGACCGCAAAGCAAGCCTCCATCCAGACTGCGATACGCAATCTGGATCCTTTCAGTCCAAAATATGACTTCATTTTCAAATATCAAAATTTGACGCGGAGAAACGACCTTGACTAGCGAGTCAGGTAGTGATGGGCAGGCGCGTATTTATATTCAAGTCTTACTTGTCAATTCAACTTCGACCAAGAGAACCTTTAACCATGAAAAATTATATTCTCATAAAGGAATACCAAAATATTGTTAACTCTATACCAATGCCGTCGGCAATTGACAAACATGCAACGAAGTTAACTCTTCGGCCATGACTCCGTTTCCGGTAAGTTAGGGGGAGAGCGGTAAAACCAGAACTGGTTCTTGGGTTAAATGAAGGCAATAATATTCTGGGCCTGAATGCTGTTTTGAAACCTATATGTACTTAATTGCGAGCAGTGCGTGCGTGTTGATCAGCGTCAATTACCTTCATTCACTTCCCAGCGAACCGTATGACGAGACATGGATCTCTACTCATTCCTCGTTTAGGGATTCAATATTCTCGCTTCTAGATCTATAGTACTTCCTACGTCAGATGTCAAGTGAAATATAAAAAGTAACCAAGTCGGCAAAGGTTCTACAATTACCGGCCTTAACATATTTTACTTCATTCTACAGAACATCACTCGAAGATCCTCCACGGCTTATTTTTCAAGCCTGTTTTCTCCTATCACTGAATACTATACCGAAAGCAATCAAGAACCAAAGGATAAAGAAAGCCGAATAAATTCAATTTCTAACAATCGGGTAAATTGAGTTCACCGATAGACCAGAAAAGAACTGACGTGAATATATCAATCACTTTGGCCCATTTAGGATACCCCGGAATGCGCTGTATTTGAGGCCTCTACAAATTCAACCCTGAGGATTGGTCTACTGAGTCCAAAGCTGAAAGCAATTCACCACGCAGTGTCGGCGAACACTGATCTAAACGCTCTCTCAAGCGTTATCCCAACTACCATCCTCGACGATGAGATCTCACAATATTAATATCGAGATATAGATATTTCGTAAGTAAACCGTGGATCAACATTGGTTCAAAGAGGAAGTCCAGATTACACCAGTCGACACCCCCGCAGCTAAAAATGTTCAACCCGGCGACAGCGGCATATGTGTTATACAATATTCTCGTTCTGAAATGCGGCCAGGAAATCACTACCTTGTGCTTCTATTTCCCACATGGCCTCCCTCGTTATGCAGAAAGAAGGAGCAAAAATCATGGCAGGATGCCATGAAAGTCTTGACCAGTATCAATATCCATCGAGCCAACTAGGTCGTTGACCATATCATTAGGGCCAAGAGGGCCGAACTGGAAGTCAAAAGGCAGTTCGAAGTCCGGAATATTCAATCCGAGAGCAAATTCCGAGTCGCCCGTACACAGTCCCTGCGTTGTCTGTAGCGCGTATCGTCTTGGAGTTTCCGAGGGAGGGTTGAAAACAAACTCACTCTCTAGTTCCTGGCCTGATGGGGTCGAGGCTTCAGACATCGATATGGAGAGACCAGTGGTACGAATAATCTTTTCAAACATTTGCAGTGACGACTTGTTCAGTGACGACATTTTGGAAAGCTCACGCAGAAATTCCAACTCGCTGTGGATTCGGAAGATATTGAGGTATTTTTCATGAGTGCTGACTGGAGTCGTTACCGCTTTCTCTATATGCAGTGCTAGTGCAGTACAAGCGCAGGTGTACCTGGATGCCGTTAGCCAATGTGCATTCATAGGTAAAGAACTGGGGGGGCGTACACAAACCATGGGCAATATTGAGCCATTCGATTGGCTGATATTCGACCTAGCATAACATCCAGCTCAAACATGGCGCTCGTTAGGTTCTTATCTGCGAGCTGGTACAGGGCATTCTTCGATGGGCGTAGGTGGCTCCGAAGCATTCGATAAATGACGCATTCGCAAACGTAACATCTAGTATTTAGGTACAGGGCCCAAAAGTTACTTTCGTTCCAATCTTGCACATCGGATACTTTTAAGCCTTCTTGAAGCGAGCGACGCCAGGATGCCATGAAGTCTCTGATTTGCTCAACTGCAGAGCCAGACTCTGACGAAATAAAATCCTTCCAGAATCGGCCAACTGCTCCCAGTAGTTAGTGTAAGAGTTGTCAATCGAGGGAGCTTGGAAATACGAACCACCGAACTGAAGTTTGCAGCTTTCGATGAGAAAAGACTTGTGTAATTCTGGAATAGGGCGAAGAAGGTCTTCGATGTCTGGTGAGATATTTTCCTCCCCCCAGTCATCCTTCGTGAGAGTCGGGGTGTCGAATTCGCCGTGTTGAAACGAGCGCACGGCTTCCAGTCCATGCAGGGCCAACAGCGTATCCCAACTGTATACAACCCACCAGATACGACGGTAGATTTTCCGCGAGTCCGGATCAAAGTTGCTTGCAGTCCTGCTTCGATGCAGGCCCAGCCGGATCGCGATGCGAGCCGCGTTTGAAATCCAGTAGCGGTGATCCTTCTCCATGTCACGTGACACGTGGGACATGGCGAGCAATAGTGAGCCTTGGAGAATCCGGACTTGACTCTTCTCGCCTCCCACGTCATGCAGTAGCTTTGCCCGGGTGAAGAAGCACCTTTGAGCCGTGATATGATCGTCAAACCCAGCGTCATGCAATAATTCAATGGAGGCATGGGGAATGGCACTGGCAAGAATAGCGTGAAGGAGAAACAAGGAAGGTTTCTGCTGTCGATAATCCCTAGTAAATCTGACACGATCAAACACAGGCGCATACGCGTAGACTCGGTCAAAAAATAGCCGAATTAATTGATCACTGTTCATTCCGTGGATTAAAATTTTTAGTGGGGGACCCCGAGAGTTGGTGACTTACCACACGGCTGAGACAGGAATATTGTACACTCCTTTGTGTCTCAAATAGGCGGAATCAACGTCATCTAATTCGGATATCCCCCCAGGGCTTTCTCGCAGGATTCTTTCCGCCAAGTTATTCGAAGTCGAGCGCCCGAGAGCCTCACTAAGGATATAAATGGAACTGATACCCTCATGATAGTCTGCTTCTCCTTCCTCGACCTGTGATGAACCATTCAATCGGGCTAGATCAGGCGAATCGTCACGCATCTGCTGCTCATTAGGCAATCCTGCTGATTGTTCCTCTCGGGCACTGCCCCCGGACGACGGCGAACGGTGAGGCAGTGGTTCCTGCAATGGAGGAAGATTTGTTTGCGTCGTGAACGACATCTCGGGTGGTCTTGTGGGTACCAGTGTTGGCTGAGATGATCGTCAGTGTGGGAAATGAATCCGAGATATTTCTGAGATGACTGACCGGTCGCCCGTCACTCTGATCTGCCCCCAAAGTCGCGTGATTCGTGATGGAGCCATTGGCATGATTTATCGACGGGGTCGCATTGAAAGCATGACTTCGTAGGTCGCCTTCAGCTGCCTTTGACTGTTGGCGTTGAGTAGGAACTTGGCCGTGGATGTTCTTTGGCTTTCTGAAGTTCATATCAGCATCCCAACGCTGTCGATCGTCAAGGCACATGGAACCTTCGATTCTTCTCCCCGTTCGCTACAGCAATGCAGCTATCTGCCCGCTTACAAATGACGCATCTGGAGCACGGTATCCCAGTCCTTGCCGCATCACAACGCACCTTGCGCTCATGGCAAGGCACGCACGCTTGAGGTTTTCTCCCCATTGCTTTCGGTCGATGGGGTTGGTGAGGCTTCCGATGTTCGACGTTGCTGGTGAAGTCCCAACGAAATGTGGCCATTACCGAGTGAGGTGGTCCGAAAGGAAAGGCTGGTAGGCACTACCTCATTCGAGGTTGATGATATAAGGAGGTTGGCATTGGAAGCGGGGAAGCGATCCGCTAAACCTTAATGCTTCCGGGGTAATCCACACTACTAGTCCTACGAATGCGGGGCTCGAGCATGTATCCGCCCTTTCTGTTCATGTTGGAATCGGAGCCGCCAAGCGCCCCGTATTTGTGTGCTTGGTGGCGCATCTTGTTGGTGTCTATGACACATACGGCAGGTCAAACCGCGCAGTGTACAATATCCTGAATAATGGGAATTGGATGATTGCTGGTTTGTAATATGCCTGGTTGGGGTATGTAGTCAGCTCTGGACCCCATACTAGCGGAGACACCCTCATAAAGGCGACTGATTGGTATTATCTCCATCGTTCTCACTACTAGTACCTTGATCGGGTCAGTTGACGTACGTTGGTGGCCGCCTTCACGGAAAGGTAAAGAACAAACACCTGGAAAGGCCGATGTAACACGATCTAGCGTGCCATTGGTTGCAATCTCGGGTAATGGCAATTCTACCCCACTTTCCAAAGTTGACCGCGTATTCGGCTTTCGCTCTCCCTGTATTTGGTACGGTACAGTCTGGAGAAACAATACACACAGACGAATTGCTGTCGACGCGCACAGCAATATCTATTAGACCTTAAATATCAGCCTGCATGGACTATGATCCCGGTAATTTCTTGTTGGTCCCTACCGTTGGCTGTTCGTCTCGACCAGTCCCTCATCTTCTCTAAAATTCCGTGTTGTTTCTTTGCTCCCGCCCCTCTCCGACACTTTCCCAATGCTAGCAGCCAGAATAACTTTTGAGACTCTTGCCTCGTTGACAACCAATGACCGGTTGAGGCTTTGTGTGGCGAACATTGTGGCTAGAGATTTTCCCATTACTGGTTTTCGCTGGCCTAATTCTGTAGGCCTTTAGTGCTAGTTCTACGCAGTTAGACTATCCGATAATGGATGGATGCTATTGAATTCCGTTTGGTTTTTGCTTGCGCGTAGATCAAAGCCACTGCACGCAGAATTCTATGAGGGCCGAGAAGTTCCTGTGTAAGCAAGAAACGTTAACTCATAATCAAAGGCATTCCTGTCGCCGAGCAGAACACGTCAAAATATAATTGCAACAGTGACACGTGCCTTCAAATGACGGATTGAATGCCAAAACGCAGGCACCGGAGATGGAACCCCACGTCGCCAGGGGTTTGAGGGTTAGTAAATTGAAATTACTGTTCCAGCTTGGGCATTCCGTGTCGCTGGCTTGCGCCTATATCG